AAACTTTTTACTATGAATCGATAAATCATACTCAAACTATCATAAAATTACTTAAAATAATGTCATTGATACATGGAAATGACAAAATGTTAAGGTTAATTGTTACCGTAATTCACATATTGAAAGATATAATTAATGGTTTTAAATGGTTGATCAGGGACAAGATGATGGTCATCATTTCCTATTATTTAACAGGCAAGAGTCAGCATTGAAATTCAGATTCAATGAAATCGACAAATTAACAGCAAAAAAGAAGAAAAAATTAAACATAATTGTGAACAATTAAAAGGTAATTTTTCACGTTAAAGTGAAACCCAAAAGTGAACCCAATCTCTGGTAATAATTAATACCAATTAAATCCATTGTCAGTGAAACCCAAACCCAATGTTAAACCTGAAGACAAGGAAGAAGCTGATTTAATCATTAAACATTTGCTTTTAATCAAAATGCACAAATTGACACTCAACTGGAAACCTTTAATTACACTCCAATGATACTAAACAGTTACAATTAAATGAAACAATTTTCAGTCTTTTTTGCCACAATTTACTCTTGTCCAGCTCGAAGTTAAAAAATGTCAAAATTGTTGATTGTAATCAGTTGATCAATGTTTATCATCAAACATGATCCAAATCGACTCAATTACAATCAAAGATCATTGAGCCTGCAAAAGATATTGATTTTTATTTTTAAATTTAATAATAATTCATCATTTTCATCAGTTAATCAATCTTTGAATCTTTGAGGGAATATAATGAATCGTAATGATTATTAAGAATTGATTATTGATCAAGATTTGGTGATAATTTTTTCTTCTTCTTCTTCTCATATATTTTCATCACTTTCAAATGATTCTCATTATAATTGACATGAAATGTTATTTATTTGTTTAATTAACTCTCATCAAGCTGCCAGCTAATTAAAGTTAAACACTTTTCAATCCATTTGAGTGGTTGATGCGCTTAAATATCGTGATTAACTAAGCGTACTTGGACTGTTGGTACCAATTTAGAAATGATTACAATCAAATGTTGTTATTAGCATTACATTTTCCGATTGAAATCGATGAAAATCGGCGATGAAAAAATTCCTAAGCTAATTTGCCTTTTTTTTCAGTTCACCATTTTTTTTGTCAACATCTTCAGGCCTTTTACCTTTAAGATGAACAATTACCGTATCGGCGCACATAATGTCACGGTGCTTCAAAATGGGCTCGCTCAAATAACAGCACCTTTGCTGCCCATTTAGACGCTCATGGGCTATTGTTAATGATCCCTTTGAGCTTTTTCTCGACCGATTAGCAGAGAAAAAAAATGATCTTTTGAATGTATTTCTATTAGTGAATTGAAAAATTCAAAATAATAGTCAAAATTTCTCTCTTAACCGATCAATTTCGATTTTTAAAAATTTTTCCTTTTCTGAGTTAACGCATGCTCAGTGACTTTCAGTTCACCATTTTTTTTGTCAACATTTTCAGGCCTTTTACCTTTAAGATGAACAATTAATAAACAGACTTAAAACTTTCCAAATTATTGACCATTAATATGATTATTATTAATATCATTAGTTGAATTGGGTAATTGAACTGAAGCTTATAGTGAAAGTGTATTTTAAGTGGCAATACCAATGATGACCAAGTGAAGATCAACTCTGTAAAGGTTAATCTTAGGCCAGTCTTGCTTCAGGCTTAATTATCATTTGGCCCAATTATTTGGTGCCCTATTTCCTGTTGAACTAAATATATTATTGCTAATAACAGGTAATGAAAGGAAAAAGAAGCTCAAATTAAAAGGTAAGAAAAGACAAAAAGGCAAAAAAATGAGAAACTCTTTAGTTGACAATTTTCGGGTTTACATTGGAAACATTGACATGACCATAAAAGGTTTGAAGTCAATTCTGGTTCAATCGAATTTGGAATTTTCTTTTTTAGGTTTGTCTCTTTGGACCTGTAGATGTGAGGATTGCCGCAAGGTTAAAGATTACCTTTTTGTTTCAATGACATAACTTGCAAGGCCAGGGAATCTTGTGATTGCGATGTGATGGGAAAGCGAAAGATGACGATCAAGAGTGATTTTAAGGTACAGTTAGAGAGAGAAGAAGGAGAAAGATGAATGATGATGGGGAAGGAGGAGATGAAAGGTAGCTAAAAGGGAGGAGAAAGAGATGATAAGGTAGAGTAAGATGATGATGATGGAGTAAGAATGGAAAGATAAGATGAGTGAATGATAAGGATCAGTTGAGGAGGACTTTTTTCCAGGTAACAATTCACGTTAATGTCTAACCCAGCTTGTTTATTGTCGTCGTTAGTTTCAACAAGAAGGTGAACACGAAAAGATTAATCAACGGCAACAAAACACCAATCCATTGAAAAGTTGTATCATTTCAATTTGAACAACTTTTCTCTTTTTTTTTATCATCGAACTTGTCTTTTTTTAAAAATTCATTTTTCACTTGTTTGTTTTGTGATCATCTTTACCCATTGAGTATTGGCCTTTCATCTGTCAACGCTTTACCCATTTACATCATTGTCATCATTTACCCTTTACCCACAATGATAAGGTAAGTTGTTTCATCGGTTCTTGAAGACTTTCATGACTTCATGATTTCATGATTTCTCTCTTTTTTCTCGTCTCTTGGTGAACTTGTGAGTTTAATTTGTAGACACAATTAATTAGTGCAAACCCAAGTCAACTAATTGTGCCAATCAAAGTTAATTAGATTAAAGAAGTTGACATTTTTTCCCAAGAATCACATTTTTCACTGTAACACAGTTCATTACAATCTCATGTTTTTTTTGTCTCTAACCGTTAGACTCATTTTTCATGAACCAGACTAACATCAGTCATTAGCTTGAAACCTTTGATATCAAAAGCATTGCTAAAAAGATTGAAAAAATGTTCAGATTTAGATTCGTGTTTCCATTATCAATATTGATTTGGTTTATCAATTGCAACTGATTACCATAATAATTGGGATCGTTCAACTCATTTGGACGATATTTTTCACTCTCCTTTTTTGCCTCTTTACTCTCTTCCGATATCATCGATATCATGAAATTAATATTCTGCTGCTTGATAAACCAATTAATTGATAAAAAAAAGGTTAAAATTAAACTTGCATTTTTACCTTTTCTCATCATTGACTGGCGGCAATCGACAGCCTGGAATCAAATTTATCTCAAACCTTTCCTCTCATTTACTCCTTATAATTAAACTTCAATTAATTATAGTATTGATGAAGACGATTCTTTACCTTTCAAAGGGAAGGTAAAAGGTAGCTAAAAGCCGAAAGGCAATGAAAGCCAAGAATATTAGATTATCTCATCTTTTTTCATTTATTTCATCAACATTTGCGTATCTATTTTAATAACCAGTCAAACAGTTTTCATTACAGTTTAACCTTTCGGTCATTCTTGTCCAGTTTTTATATCTTTTACGATTAAAGGCAACCAGAATTGAATAATGATTCATTTGTGTTTTACTTACAGATTTTCCATATTAATATTGAGCTTTGCCTCGATTGGTCTTTGCTCTGATTACAATGACATTGAAAGACCGCCTCATTCAGGTCCACCTTATGGAACTGATTATTCACCAGAATGTGCTTTAATTGTATCAAGGAGTAAACCCTATTCACCTGACCATGAGCCAATCAAAATGTCCCCTGGACTTCATTATATTTCTAATTATGCTCCAAGGTAAGTTGATAATCCATATTTTTCTTATTTAAACTGAAAGCCTTCAAGTTATTGATTGAATTTCATCAAGTCAATAATTTACAAATAGCGTAACAATTGTGGCTTTTAACAGCCAATTAATCAGTCAATGTAATAACATTGATCATTTGAACAACATTAGAAACAAAACAATATTAATTATTTTCCGTCAATGAAAATTTTACCAAACACAGTCAAAACAAAGGGTAAAACCAATGTTAACCAGTTTTGTAGGTAGACCTTTTAAAATCTGGTTTGGGTTAACAATGGTTCAACTGGTTAATTTGATTAATCATTTAATTGGATGAACCTCTTTAATCAGTTCGTCTACCTGGAGCAACATTTATACATTTATGCTTAAGGAAGATTAATATTGATTATTATTGTCCAGTTTTGGTGTTTTTTGTTGTTGCCAAGCGAGGAGATGAAAAAAGGTTAATTATTGAAGATGATTAATCCATTACTTTAATCTGATGGTTGCATTGGAATGAGTCTTCCGTAAATGAGAAAGTTATTGAAAGTTAGTGAAAATTATGATCATCTTCATTTAATCACTAATAATCATCAAGATTATGTTGAGATGAACTGATTTTTGGTGTTTTTTTTCGTTATTAATTTTCAATTTCACCTTATTTTGGTTTTGTTTTCGATGTTCATTCTTGCCTTGCCTCTGCCACTTTCAGCTTTCAGCTTCATTTTCAGCTATAATTCATGTATTGTTGAAGCTTGCGGCTATCAAATAATTATCAATGCTCAGTTTAAACACACAAGATAGATGATAAGTTGGTTGTTAGCGTTGTTTAGAGTCGTATCTGATGGATAATAACTTTCCAAGTAAAACATCCAAGTAATGCATAACCAGTAAAATGAAGATAAACTGAACACACATACACAAAAAAGGAGTTCATCTTGTTATTATAAATACACATTTATTAGTGAAGTTTAACCGTTATTTTTGTAAATAAAAATCACTTCTCCAGGCTGTTGATGAGCCACTTTTTGAATGTTATCATCCATTTATTTGTTCACTATTAATTGTAAACGATAACTTTCCAATATTGGCCAGTTAAGGGTTTCCTTGAGTCTCATTAGATGCAAATTATGGATCCAAATCATCAAGTATTGTCCATCACTGGATAACTTCATGTTATAGCTTAATTGCGAGCTTTTATTTCCAATGGAATAGTTAATTCAATTTGATCCGTATTTGGTTTCCAATCACTGTTGTGAGTCTGAAAATGAAAAGAAAAAAAGATTCATATTTAGTGAGATTTGAATGCTAATTTTAAATGTGATTACGATATTCAGGCTGAATGACATTTATTAATACTTTGAATTCAACTGTTATTAGAGGTCAAACTGAGAGATTACCATGAGTAATTCATTTTCTGTTCAAACCTAACCTTATTAACTCGGCTTAATACATTTCCTTGGTGGAAACATTTCTGACCTCAAATTTTTTTCTAAAAAAAAGCTATCTTTTGTTTTTTGTTGTTTTTTTGCATCATTTTTGTTCATTTTTTCACCATTTCTTGCTCTGCATCACCATCTTCAGAATCAAAATTTTGAGGTTCATTCCGGTATTACAATTTCATGATTTTCTAGTCAGTATCTGCAACCTGACAACTAAACAATTTCAATTCACTCCTTTCGTTAATTTAATACATTTTTATACCATATAAATATAAATATACCTTAATGAACATCTCAGCGTGAGCTTGGAAGATGTTGAACAGAAAAAATATGATTACATTGAATGATATTTATCTGATTGATAAGCAGAAGCTTGGTCAAGATGATAATCAATATTGATTAATCAATTTCTTTTTGCTTTTAGAAAACAAAATTGGTATAAATAATGTTATTTTGATTAAACTTCACATCATCAAATCAAAGTTGAGCCAGTTAATTGTTGCATTCATTTTTCAATCAAAATAATATTTTTACTGTTTAATACAAAAATATTTTTTTAATTGAAAAAAAAAATGGAAACAAGCTCAAAATGATGGTTTATACCATTTCATCTGACAATTGGCAGGAATCAAAATGATTTTTGATAACGACAAGTTCGCAATTAACCTTCTTAGATCCGTTTTCACTTGATTTTTCATTAGAGACTGATTGCTCAATTAGATGTGATTTGATGATGGATGAGATGAAAAAATTGTGATTTACTCGAGTCAATGGAAAAGTAAAATGGATCAAAATGAAAATGGTGAAAATAAAGGTGACATTGAGGCCGCTTTTCCAGATCAATGATGTATTGGAAAATACAAAGTTTTTACGTCTAAATGGCCAATCTTTAGACCATTTTTTGATCATTTCACTTTTACTGGGCCAATTAACTGCTCTATCCGATAATTGGCATTTCAAGTAAAAGTGAAATTAACGTGAAATATGATTATTTCACGATTTTCTTGCTAACTTTTCATTTCTTTTCACATTTTACTTTTTCATTAAACGCAAAAACGTAAATATTAATGACAACTGATATCAATAATACTGTTTGTATGATTGTTAACAGTTTACAATCTCCTTTGGGTTTGGTGTGTTTGTTTGTGTCCTCATGTTGGTGTTGATTCTGATGAGGTCCCATGAAGCCAATCAGTTAAGTTACAGTCAACCATCCGAATCGACGAGTAAAATTGAGAGTCTTCAGAAAAGCTGGTTCATCATGATATTGAGTGTGATAAAGGAGAAGCTGAAAAAGAGAAGAAAAATATTGAAACTCGATTGCATGATGAATGTAATAATAATTGGAAAGAAATTGAAGTGAAAAAAGTGGAAAAAAGGCAAGAAAACGTTCAGTTGATTATGAGATGATGACAATGTTAACAGATGATTGTTAAAAGGTTAACAAGTTATGATCATTTGGTGGTGAGTAAAGTAAAGCGAACGAAAAAGTTCAATATTCAGACAGAATTTGATCATATTTTTCTTATTAACCATTTAATAACCTTTTTTCATCTTCTTACATTTACTTTCCTTTTCTAGGTTTTATTGGCTTCAAAATTGTTATCATTATTAGAGGTTTGCATTCCAATAAGAGAGTGAAAAAGAAAATGAAAATTTGTATCATTTTCAGGTCAATCAGATTCAATGGTTGAATAACAATTTTGATGCTTTTTTCACTATAAAAAAAGATTGTTTCAATGAATCTTCAAAAAAGATTGATTTCTGATTGGTTATCAGTCAATTTCAATCTGACTATCAGTACAAATTATCAACAATTTAATTATTTTATTTCACCTCATAATATCAATGATTACTTACTATGTTGATCATGATCTTTACTCAATTATAGTTATGATTATTCAATTCAAATGATTCCAACGTGCTTTCCATTTAATCCAATTTCCAAATCAAAGATATGACCAGAAGCATAACATTAGGTGTAAACAAATACACTCTATGTTTCCAATTATGAGGAAGGAGATGATGAACAGTTGATAATGATGATGATGATGTGATGATAACGAGGAAGAAGGTATAAAATGCAAGTTTAAGTGGTGCAAATTGCGTGGTTTGCACCTTACCATCATTATTATTTATTGATGTCCATCTTGAACAAAATCGGGTTATTTTTTATAACTGCATAAGCAAACGTTTGTATCACTTTAAAGGTTCAAAAATGTATCGATAAACGAAACTGTCACTTTCAATGCAATAATCATATTAAACCCAAGTTACCTGTAAAGATGACAAAAATTTTGATTAATTTAAAAATTGTAAATGATAAATTGTGACCAAATGAGATAAATAATGTCATTTGATTAGCTTACATGCACAAAAGTATAAATTTTATACAGTAAAGAGTGTTACTTGGGTCAGCTGAGAAATGTCGGTAATCTTATTCCACTCGTCATTAGTAGTCCAATTTGTAATTTATTTTATTTGTTTAGTCCAGTAAAATCTGAAAGAGGCAAAAGCTGAGATTAATTAGACACATATAAAGGTTTAACTTTTAAAAATAAAACAAAAAAACTTACCCAAATCCAATACAAAAAGGAGTAAAAAAAGATATAATTTCGAGCATGAAAAAAGGTTGAAAGATACAAGGCTTATTAGTTATTCAAAACGGTTAGAATGGTGAAGATATTGAGCCTGATTCTGATGTCGTTGAGGATGGTGATGATGGCGATGAATAAACAGAAAGAGAAAAAGAAAGAAGAAAAAATAAATTAGAAAAAGAAAGCGAACTGAAATCAAGAGTGAATGCAATGATTCAATCGTATGTAAAGTTAAAAATATTTTAGGGTGCGTCTGTCAATTACGTCCGGAAAAGTGAGAAAGTAATGATTGTTTTGGCGCAAAAAAAGAGATTTAATCAAAAGTTGATTACTGTTACAATTAGAATGGAAGAATCTTGAAAGATCAAATTTCTATGGTCAAATGACCATTAATGATAGATTGTTTGAACAGTAAATTTACAATTATGCTAAAACCAGCTTCGATTTTATGCTTGATGCTGTTTACGCTATTTGCTTCAGCTGTTGTTTTATGCTTTTTGCTTTTGTCTAACAGTTTAAGATTTTTAATTTTATAAATCAACTATGTTTTGAAATTCCCTGATTTATTAATACTTAATGAATCTGTATATTCAGTGGTTATTTTGTAGAAAAAGACTTGTAAAAAGTGCAACTGACCATTCGAAATGGCTACCAAAGGTGGATTGACCATTCAGCCATTTCTTCTGGTTTCTGTGATCGCTCTTTACTGCTGACAGCAAACATGGCTGGTCAATGTGAAAAAAGTGTTTGAATTTTTTCATTGATTTTCATTATTATTGATTTTTAAACGGTTGATTAGCTAATATTATCTGCTAAAACAACTGTTAATATAAGACTTTGTCTGTTTGCTGTTGATAACTACCGGGTTGATGTTAGTTAAATAAGATGTAGCAACAACGATTTTACAAATTGATGTCTCAGTCCAACAAGATCAATTAGATGTAATCAACAGGTTAAAAAGGTGAGTCTGCCTTTTCGTGATGCTTATTGCTGGACTTAACTGTAACACGGTATAAATTGGACTAATCACCATGATTGGATAGGTGATGGAAATCATAAAACAGAAAGTGAAAAAATAATGTTGTGAATGCAAACCAATCCAGAAGTTGAAGAATTAAAAAATGTAGCAAATAATAAAAATAGTCAGTGATGAATGGTATAGATTGTTGATTAATGTGTTTTGATGATGATAAAATTAGATGAACCGCTAACCGTTGGTTGTATAATTTTTAAAGTCTGGTTTGAAAAAGCTGAAGCCGTTTGGATAGCCTTCTGTAATTGACTAGCTAAAGGCTATAAAAACATGAAATGTAGTATTATAAAAGGATCAGGATTCGCCTTATGAGCATGATAAGAATCATTGATTTAATGAATTAAAGTTTAAAAGTTGACAATTGTCGCTTCAATTTCCCAAGGAAAAGCAGTCCAATTTTTCTGTGTTACACAGTTCATTACAACAAGCTTTACTTTCTGTCTCATGCCTTTTCCACTAATTTTTACCTCATTTCATCATGCTCATGAATCTCTTTTTTTCTGTACTTTTTTTCATGTATTGTCTTCAATAACTGTTGGCTGAACCGGTTGAGATAAAATGAATTGAACTCTCCTTCAGGATCTATTAGTTAACCAACTATGAAACTAATCAGATAAATATATCTAATAATGTCTTTTGTTTTGCTGCGTTCTAATGGTCAAAAACAATAATCTACATTCACAAGATTGGCACAGATTGAGGGAAACAAGATGAACACGATTAAAGACAAATAAAAAATTAAAGAAAGGCCTAAGAGACAATTACAAGAATCAAAAAAATGGTGGCAAATAGTGAATTTTCAACTGAATAATGAAACTTTCCTCTGAAAACAAGATCAATTGTCCACAAAAAGTGTGTACTTTCTTCAGGCTTGGCCTTGTGAGATTTTACTGATTTTGTTTTCCATCATCTGATATCATTATGCTAAACAATCAACTCACAATATAAAGAAATTCATTTTTCTTGTTGTTCATCACATTTTCATCATTATTTTCACCTCATTCTCATTCTTGTAATATGTTCTTACAGTCTTTTTGTTTTGTGTTTTTTTCATGACCATTTTTTTGCCGTTATCGTACAAACTGGTTACAATTTGACAATCTATTTAACAATTTGTTTCATAATCAAATTTTTATCCTTAATTTCGTGGCTAACTGGTAACACGACAATACATAATTAGATGAATTACCATTAAGATTGTGAGACCAGCAAAATAAGATTGTTCATGAGCCTTATAAAAACCATGGGTGCAGCTAATATCAGACAATCACGCAAATTCAATGGTTCACAGTTTCTCAATTATTGGATTTGATTACAATAGATTCATCTAAATTTGGATTATCTAAATCAACTGTCCATTGTAATGTACCTTTGGAACCTAAACCCAAAATCAAACCCAAAAATCAAACCTAAAAATTGAAACCTTTATCAGCCTTTCAAGGTCTGCACTTGTCTGGACAAATGTTGAACCATTATGGCTGATTAATTGTTGATTATAATGTTAATTGTCTGACCGAGACATTGTATTAAACCAACACCTTTTAATCCAATTTACTTGGTAATCAATTGAAACTCACTAATTGTAATGTAGAGTGAAAAACAGTGAGAAATAATTAGCCTTTTGTACAAGCTAATTGACTGTTTCATCACAACATCGACAGCACATGATTTTTCAACAATTTAACAACCATTTAAATCAATTGTGCTTCTTTTTTGTTGTTACTCTTGTCAACTCATTTGTTACTCTGGTTTTAGTCAGTAATTTAGCTGCTTTTTTGCTGTTATTTCATCGCTTCTGTTCGCAACGAAACTTGTCATTAAATTGTTACCCGGAAATTTTACAGCCAGTAAAGGTGGTTAAATGATAAGTGTCTGTGTTTTAGTTTTAATCAAGTTCAGGGTTAAACTCATCTTCATCTGTTGGTTAAACTCGTGTTGACTGTCATCATCATGATAATTATCAACATCATTATCCAAGTGTTAGGCAACAATACAAAAGCAATTACAAAAAGATCATGAAAGGAAAATATTGAACTCAATCTTTTCAGTGTCTTATTGTAACTTGAAATTGATTAACAGTTTTTAAGCAAAAAAAAATTGATCACTTTAGGCCAATAATCTGACCATTTTTGAATCATTTGTAGCAACTGTTACAATTGATCAACTGGAAGGCAATTCAACATCTTTTCATGATTACAATTACCAATAGACCAACTTTCACCCATCAAATTGAACTTCAATTTGTATTCCTTTAAACCTTTGAATTAACCTTTTTGATTAGCTAGTATTGAATACCATAATTTGAGTCAATTTAATGATCTTTTAAAGGTATTTCACTTTAAAATGCTTTCCTTTTGTTTACCAATTGACACAATATTTCTTGGTCTATTACATTTAAAACAGATCAATACATTTGATTAAACTCTTGACTGTAAGCCAATTGTTTATCAATTGATTTACCTTCAATTGTCTCTCAATTGTGTAAATCATCTAACCTTTGGGTCAATTGTATTTAACAAACTATTAAGTGTGGTTAATGAGTTACCGTTTAAAGTAAACCGCAATGAAAAGTCCAACTAAATTGAGTTAGCAAATTATATATTGATTAACCAGTCTAATTGACTTTCATGTAAATCATAACTAATCATGTTAAATACTTTGAAATTGATGAAATTGCTTTCCCTCTTTAAACATCTCATTTAATTTAATTTTAAACTTCAGCTGTTTTAAATTAAGGAAGCATAAATTGACAGCATAATTAGGCAAATTTAATAACCAGATTAATTTACTAAATTTTATTGGATTATACGTTAAAGCGTATTTAAAGGTAACAGTAAAGCTAATCTGGTTAATTTGTATTTGTCTGGTTCATTGGGTTCAATTTTTTGCAATATTAAACCAAATTTTTCTCAACCTTTACTTTTCAATTTTCCGTATCACAACCAAATCGCTTTCACTTTTTCATTTCAAATCAACATTTTAAATTGAAAAAGTGTTTAAAATTAGAAATTAACATTTAAATGCAAGCAGTTGAACCATTTTTTCAAATTCAAATAAACCGCAAAACCTTCGATTTCCAAATACAGAGAAAGTCAATTTTAAAGCAAAGGCCGAGCCTCACAATTGAAATCGATTAGAGTTTATAGACATTAATATTGTTTTCGTTCAATTTGGCTTTTCTTGTAAATTTGATTTTGCCTTAAAGCTGTTGTCGAAACGCCAAAAAGATCAAATCCTCGCATTTCTTTATGAATATTGACTTGTTCTTAACAAAGCGAGGTGAAAAGATTCAGCTTCTGTTTATCGTCACAATTTATTTACGCTTTTTTAGGTGAAAATTTGATGTTTCAACCAATCTTGAGAATTCCAAATTTTAAAATTCTTTTCTTTTCTTTTGTCCATTTAGATTGAAGCGCTCTTCATATTATCCAGGAGAGGGTCAAATCTGTATCACATACGAGGACATCAACCGAGCTGTCCATGAAGCCAAAGTACGACTTGGAAGTTATGTTCCAGAAGAGATCAAAGAATTATCTTCTGATTTACCCAAAGAAAGTCACATTTCAGTTTCAGCGGAAATTGTTCTCGAAGCCACTCGAATCTTAGCCCAATGGTATGACCTTTCCAAGGAGACAATCCTCTTTGGACTTCCTCGTATCGACACTTATCGAACTGCCATCCGAGACATTTGTCCTTCCTTCTTGAAACCAGTTAAATGTGAAATCTCCAAATATCGTACTTTAACCGGAATGTGCAACAACTTGGACTATCCATCATGGGGTTCAGCTCGTTCCGCAATGGTCAGATTCTTGCCTCCTGCCTATGCTGATGGTAAGTAATAAAAGAAAAGGTTAAACTTGTGATTTTGAGCGATTGAGGGTACCTCTTGTTCACATCTTATCGTTCAATCATGAAAGATTCACTTTCTTCTGTTGTCAACAATTTACTCAACAAACATCAATTTTTAAGGCAAACATTAACCAAATTTTCATTCATCCATTTATTACCTTCATTATTATCATTTTACTCTTAATTTAACTCTCAATTATTATTATCATTATCATTAGTATTATTATTCAAAACTAGTTTCAATCATTCATCATCATTACATTTATGTTTATTTATAACATTATAATTTTTTGACTCTCTCTCTTCGTCTTCTTAGCTATTATTTCATTTGATTATCTTCATTAACTGTATTACAAATTAGTCTCAATTGTCGTTGTTGTTTATGCTTGTCAGTGCTAATTTGATAAAAAGACACGTTCCTTTTGTTTTCATTTGCTTCATTTTTGTTCATTTGTTTCCTCTCGATTCACATGTATTCATGATTGTCACTCAATGTTTACCTTTTTTTGTCATATACAGCAATTGTAGCGTTTGTTGTTGCCGTTCATTGATACCTTTTGCACAAAACAAAAAGAGTTAACCTTTCAAGTTGAAAAAACAAAAGAGCAGGTAAAAGTTACCAAAATAGAGAAACCATTTTCTTCTTCCAATTTTGAAATTATGCCTGCTCAGTATTCATGAGTTTCATGATGAGTTGAAGGAAAAGCGAAATTTCCAGAGGGCGAATGTTGTCCAATTGTCGCAATTGACCAATTGAAACAATTAGAGGCATTTAATGATGAGGATAAATTAGGCTTGTGGACAATTAAAAGGCTTCTAATTGTTCAATTGTTGAGGCTTGAGATGACAATTAAATGTAAATTTTTCCAAGTAACTGGAACAGCCAGAAAAAACAGGAGATTCATTGGAAGGTGAATTTTTCCTTCTGTAATAATTGATTGATCCAAATTTTTTGATTAACTTAACCACAAGTTGACACGATCGAGACAAATTTTGATAAATTGTTGATAATTTTGATGAGTTTAAAGTGTTGAGGTTAACTTGATTTGCCATTTTTTCGTGTATCAACTATTCAATGTTTACAGCAAAATTGTTGAATTTAATGTTGCTTATGAGTTGCTTTCTTTTGCTGGTTAAAACCATGTCCCAAGATGTTCAAATTAATCAATTTTCGGTTAATTATTTTAGCCTTAAATCATTCCAGGCCTGACAGGTACAGCTGAGTAAACGTATTGTGGTGAAAAAATTGTCAGACGTAAATAAATACATTGCCATTCGATATTAAATTACTTGAAATGTGACCTTTTATCATGTTTGCTTTTTTATACATTTTGGTGAAATCTATTCAGGTCGTTGATGATCAACCAGAAGAAATGGCAAATAAAAATTGTATTGAACTTTTCCTTTTTGAAAATTTACTTTTCTTTTTCAATTTAACTTGATTTATCAACGTCCCATCTTCATGTTAGCCTTTACGGTTATTCCCAATCATGAATCTGTGTCGTTACATTTATATCACAACCGCAAGGCATCATCAAAATGATCAACATTATCATGAAACAGACCAAATGATGATCATCGTTTTTATGCCGACTTTTTACTCTTTTCACCATTTTACAGGCCTTTCAAATTTCACAACATTTATTGTTACCAATTTCCCTCTTTCTTTAATGATACAATTTAACACTTTCCCTTTAAACATGTTGAAAGATCCACAATTTGTGTTGTGCCAATTGTCATGATAATAATAGTGTTCACTGGGTATGTTTCTTTATTAATAATAAGGTGTTTATCCTGCTTTAATGGTCATCATAAATGATTTCACATTAATTAGAAACAATAGTTTGCTCTAATTTCCCATTCACTGAGAATTGTTTAATTTTCACTTTAACTGGTTTAACAATTAACACGACAATATTATGATTAGTTGACCGGCTCCTGTGACCTTTTCAGTTTACCAAGATATGGCCAAGATAAAGTATCGATTGTTTAGCAATGACAATAATAGAGATGATCTTTCTCCCATTTGGCATTCATAATTCCTGAAATGCTTCCTGTAATTTAATCGCTATCTCATTTGCATTTCATCAGCTTAATGAAGATTACAATGTTGGTTATAATTAAGATGATGATTGGACTCGATTCACAGTTTACAATCAGGTTCGTTAGGCTTTAGTCACAATAGCTATAACGGTGATGAGATGAGGATGAGAAAAAAAGTGGACAAGAAAAACAACAGCAAATGTTGATATTGGTGTCATTGAAAAGTAGCCTGAGGATGAACTGTCATGTCAAATGTCAGGTGATTTAGTAATTCTTGCGATTGTAAAAAAACATTCTTTTTCTACTGTCTTTTTTCCTCTCATTACTTTTGTTGGTGATGATGAAATGTGAACCGGGAAGAGATGAATTCCATATTATCGTAAAAAGTTATCAGCAAAAATATTTGAAACAAACAAACGAAACCAGAAAATTCTATCGATGAATCTAATGATTTTGATTTGGTAGATTCAGTGATACTATAGATGATAACAAGAATCAGCATTTTGATTGTCTTTTCTTTAACCAAAATCTAATAATGAAATTAGTCTTGAATTCATCCAGTAATATGTCAAGCTATTGAGTTTTGAAAATTTCTCGATGAAACATCTCTTTTGTTGGATCTCGATTATGTTGCCGGTGCTTTCTAGCAATAATCCAAATTGTAATGGCATGATGAAAACATTAAACTTGACTGTTACTTGATTAATAATTGTAGAAATGATCTTGATGGTAATGATAATGATAATAATGATGGTTAAATGTTATGATTGTGATTATGGGCAAAGCTTTTGAATCGCTTGTTTCTTTATTTAAACCATCACGTAACATAATGTTTAAATTTTTTATTTTCATAAGGTATTTCTGAGCCGCGACGATCAGCCGATGATGATTCTGAGCTTCCATCACCACGTTTGGTTTCCTTCATTATCCATCAAGATGTTTCCGAACGTGATCAATATATTACTAATTTGTTAATGGCTTTTGGGCAATTGATTGATCACGACATGACTTTTGGAGCAACCGCAACAAACGAATTTGGCGATATCTTGAAATGTTGTGAAGAAGAAGATTCATCTCATCCAGCTTGTTTACCCATCAAAGTACCTCGTGATGATCCTTTCTACAAATTTTTCAAGCGAACCTGTATGAGCTTTGTTCGTGTTCTTGCCGGTCTCAAACCAGGCTGTCCATTGGGTCCTCGAGGTCAAATTAATGCCATTTCAGCCGTTCTAGATGGTAACTTCATCTATGGTTCATCTCAAGAAGTATGCCAAAAATTGAGAGCTCTTAAGGGTGGTCGACTCAAGACAACCGCCATGTACAAAGAATTAGGTCTTAAAGATTTACTTCCAATGAAAACATCTGATCCTGATAAGGGTTGTGAAAGAAGTGGTCGACCTCGAAACATGTTCTGCTTCGAAGCTGGAGATAGACGTGCCAATGAACAGCTTGGTATTACCACTTTACACACCATTTTCATGAGAGAGCACAATCGTATTGCTGACTATCTTGCATTTGCCAATCCACATTGGGACGATGAAACTGTTTTCCAAGAAACACGAAGAATTGTTGTCGCTGAGATTCAACACATTACATTCAATGAATACCTTCCAGTACTCTTAGGTCGTGAAAAAATGTCCAAATATGGTCTAGATTTGGTTGAAAACGATTTCTACAATGGTTATGATCCAAAAATTAATCCAGGAATGAGACTTGGTTTCCAAGCAGCTGCCTATCGTTTTGGTCACTCAATCCTTCCCGATGTCATTGAAAGATACAACAAATATCACGATAAAATTGGTTAGTAGATGAATATTTTTAAATACAAGTGAAATCGAAAAACTATAAATCACCTAAAATGATTTAAGTTTATTAACCAAAGAATGATTGTAATTATGAAAAGGAGTGTAAATAATTTTTTTGATTTCCCGGTTTTTTTGCAATGCAATTGATTTTTAAAACAAAATCAAACCAATTTGCTTACGTAACCGGTAGATGGAGACTCACGAATTTGAAAAATTTATTTAAGCGCAAAAAAATTGAATTGTTTTGAAATTGGAATCAGTCATGAAATATTGTATAATCAATTTCTGGCATTCTTATTGCTTGATGCTTTTTATATTACCAAACTTTGGTTCACTTTAATTGGTTTGATCTTAATTTTCTCAATTTAATTGTTTTTCTCAATCTTTCTATGTTTTGCTCATCTTTTTTTTCATTTATTTTCAGAATCAATTCGCTTGTCCCAATTACTTTTACAGCCTTATGAGCTCTACAAACCTGGTTACCTTGACTCATTTATTTTGGGTTTGGTTAACCAACAGGCCAACAGAATGGACCCGGAAGTTTCCACTGAAGTAACTAATCATCTTTTCGAGAAACCTGGAGATCATTTTGGTGCAGATTTAGCTTCAATCAACGTTCAACGAGGACGAGAAGTTGGATTACCCGGTTACAATGCTTACCGAGAATTCTGTGGACTCAGAAAAGCTAAAGGATTCTATGATCTTATTGGAACCTTCGACAACAAAACTGTTCACAGAATGGCCAGTATTTACAAGTAAGTAACATTGATAATCACAGCAAATGAAATTTGTTAATCTCATTTTTGCCTCTTCTTTCTATAGACATGTTGATGATATTGATTTATGGTCAGCCGGTGTTGCTGAATATCCAGCTCCTGGATCACTCATTGGACCTACTTTCGCATGTATAATTGGTGAACAATTTGCCAATCTTCGACGAGGTGATCGTTTCTGGTATGAGAATAGCGGTTGGCCATCATCTTTGTCTCTTGAACAACTTAATGAAGTTCGTAAAGTTAAATTAGCCAAATTATTATGTGACAATGCTGATGACATTCAAACAATTCAACTTTATCCACTTCTTATGCCTGATCATCATTCGTGAGTTATTCTAAATTTTTCATTTCTTTGTTCGAAATGTTACAAAATTTACTAATAACTTATTTTTCTTTCATTTTTTAAATTCAGAAATCCTTATGTTGAATGCCGTGATCTTCCAGCTATGGATCTATCTGTTTTCAATGATTATTCATACAAATCAAAAGCAAAAGCAGCAGCAGCAAAAGCTCGTGGTGCCTAAACACTAGCGAGATAATACAAAGTGCCCAACTGATTTTACAAATCAAGTCAAATTCACCTCAAATTTCATCCTTTCTTCTTTTCCCTTCTCACTTTCATCTCTTTTCTGTCCTCTCAGTCCATTCTGGATACCATATCTTCACGGCTTCTTCAGCTTTTTTTCATTCTGAGCCAGTCGAGGTTTTGTTAAACTTCGCCTGGCAAAATCGTTGCCAATTTCTTATTTTATTACTTCGCATTACCATCAAAATCATTATTATTATTATTGTTGTTACAACCACTTGCCATGTTAACAACCATCATCGTTAACATTGTCACCATTAACTTTGTCACTCGATATTTGCTACTCATATTCACACATCTTCATTTTCATTATCACCAACTCCATACTCATTCGCACAACAATCACTTTAATCAAATTACAAATTCATTTTTTTGCATATTTCATCCAAGCCATCACAGCCTGTAGCAGAAGTGATCAGGACAAGTTGACAGTTTAATGAAATGGCGATATTGATGGCAAAACTACTAATAATGAAGATGATGCTAATTATATTGATAGACTAAAACAAAGGTCTAATTAGATAAGCAAAGAAGAGTTTGAGAAAAGCCAACCAACATTAATAGTTATTAGATTAGCTATTAATTTGTTTTCATAAAAATATTAATTTCAGTCTTCCAATGTAAATATTTAATTCTTTTCATCATCTTCCATTCATCCATTCACTCATTCACTCACAGGTCTACCTTTTTCTTCCTTTTGTGTCTTACTTTGTGCCTTTGTGATATTCACACAATTAAAGCCTCAAGGAAACAACCAATCGTACTGATAACTGAATCAAATGCGTTTGTATTTTGTGGTCTTCAAGGAACATCTTTTCATCTTTGGATTCAAAACAATCAAGCCACATTTTTATTTTTCAATATTGTATTATCAATATTAACATTAGCAATCTCTCTTTTTTTCATAATAATTATTGTCAAAACTGAAATGATCAAAAAAATCAATCTGACATATCTGTAATAATTATACTTTACATTTGGTTTGATTTTTGATAATCATGTTTAAACATTGCCCATTGTTATATTAAATCAATTGCTCATTGTAACTCGATAACAGATCATGATGGTAATCATTTGATACTGAATTATAACAAACTATAACTTTGTGCTAATGTGGCAATTGATTTGGTCAATTGATTCCATGATTATATTACAAATGTTTGCTTTTTCAAGGAATAAAATTTAATAAAACTCAATTTTTTGCTTAATATTTCAACAGCAATATCATATGGAGTGAACACATAAATTTAGTACATACATGACTGTGTTTTATACATTGATTGATACGATCGATATTAATATATTGCCAATCTTTGTGAGTTATCAATATTAACAACGCAGCAACACTTTAAATGAATGATTCAACCAGGTATTAAAAATCAAAGTTATTGTAATTTCGATAGATACAACTGTTGAGATACAGATGGCATTGTGCTCCATGATTTGTTCAGTTTACTCGATGGTCTCGTTTGAATGGTTGAGTCGTTTATTGTGTTCATGTTAGAAGGTAATATTTGTGCTTGAACGCGTGTTACAGCGCTTTTAGTTTACATCCTCTTTTCTTTCTTGAAGTAGAAAATTTTCTTGCATTCTTATTTGAATCATATTTATATATGTTTTTGAATTTTTTGAACTGTTGCTTATTGCACCTTATATAGCCTATCATCAAGAATGAAATTAAAAGTAAACCTAAAAATGATAAAATGACTATTGACGAGTAATCAACTTCGGGCGCAACAATATCAACCGTCTCAGTTGATAGAGCACTTAATGTTATTGTATCAGCATATCTATCATTTCGTAGACTAACACTGATCTTGAATTTACCCGATTCAAATAATCTCATCGAGCAATTGAAGATTGATCCGTTTAGATTTGGTTTTATGTTGGTGCAATAATTATGTGGACCAGCTTTGATATCTAAGTACTCTTGAGTGTCATCAAGGTCCAGTGGTCTATCGAATTCAATTGTCAAAGTTTCAGATGAGGAAGAGTTGAACATTAAAGGTGAAATACGAGCCACTTTAAAGCAGATATCTACAGATTGTGTAACATTGTCTATTTTCTTCTTACATCTTGAATCAGACCAAATACAGTCCGTGCTTATACCATACATCAAACAGTGATTGCAACTTTTGTATTCGTGACAAAATAAGTACGACCCAAAAATTATTTGATTGGTATCTTTAGTAACTCGAAAATATCCTAATGGCACGTCATTAAAATATTGATGAAGTTGAAGATCGTCCATAGGTGATATATCATCTTTATGACATGTTAAGTAATGATTCTTGAGTTGTGAACAATAGCGACTTTCATTGTAACGTAAACTGTTATATATTAAATGTAAACGATTTAAAGGATATCCATTAAAAAAAGCTTCAACATTTTGAATTGAACTATCGTAATTGAAGTTTTTGTGAATTTCAATGCAATTCTGTGCATAACCAATTGTTTGATGGCAAAAATGAGTTTCATTGATGTAATTATTGTAATCATCTTCAATATCTGGATTGCGGCTTTTTCCATAAGCAAAGATAAAATGATAATCCAAATTTCGTTCAAAATTGAGCTCAACTGAAGGTACAATATTCTTATTAGAAGAACAATTTTTATAAGTAGTTTTTTGGCAACTACGAGTTTCGGATCTTAAATGGTATCGCATCAAGGTGTGATTATTTGCACCTGAAGCACATTCTTGTCCAGTTTTGTCAAACAATGAAACAAAATGATCGATGAAATATCGCGTATGAACCAAGCTCTTGTTGGAAGCTTCTTTTGTAACTAAAAGTAATATTTTTGCGGGTTTATAAAATGTTAAGCAAATGAAAATAGCTCCAGTAATTTGATTAGTTTGAAACTCTGGTCGATTATAACGAATCTCAACTGCACTCGAAATAAGTTCACTTCCTTTGTCAAGACACAATCGTATTATCGATATTTCTTGAGTAACATTTTTGGTCTTTTCATTCCAAATACTTCTCTTGATTAGAAGGTACAATTTATCGTCAAAATGAATATAGTCCATCATTTTCCATTCCTTAATGAACTTCCAATCATCTTCTTTAAGCCAAGGTAAGGATCGCTTCACAGAAACCTTTACATTTTCATCATCGAAATACAACAATTCAATATAATTCCATTCAGGAACTGATTTAGTTAAATCTGGATTGAATATTGTTGGAACATGAAGAGCTTCATTATCACCAAAAGCTATTATTGAACCACTTAATTTACCAGAATATTCCATATCTTCGATAGTCTTTTGATTAATCAGAATTTTAGGTTTATTTTTATGAACGAACATTAATCGATCTTTTTTGAGATTAACTACTTTCCAATTGACGATTTCGGACAAATTAACTACACTTGTTGGAATGTCAATAGTTTTTATCTCACCAGCAACATAAAAATCATACGATGTAAGATTCTTCTCACTTCTAAAGGAAACACTATCTGGTGCTTTGTAGTAAGTTAATCGATTTTGTTTAAATCTTTTGAACGAAAATGAATATTCAATCGATAAAAAGAATTGCATGATTGTAATAAGATTTGGAATAAGCATTATAAGGTGTTGGTTTTTAAACTGAATTAAAATAAAAGATAATAAAGTTAAAAGACAAATGATTACATTGTTAGTAAACACATCCCAGGATTTCATAAACTGTGCTTAAAGGGAAAGGGATTCCATTGTAATCCTTGTGGTTTTTTCTTATGGGTCTTTCGAAAGACAGTGTTTATAGAGATTCACCGAAAACCTTAAATGACCTCGAAAAGGCAATCAAAAACAAATTAGCTCAAGTTGACGATGAGATGCTGAACAATGTTTATTCATCATTTGTTAGTTGCAATATCTTTGCTCAAAATCAATAAATAAGTTCAGGTTATTACAAAAGTTTTGTTCTGAAAGCACAACAAGTTTACCGTTATTTTTGAGCGTTTGTTGATTCGATAACAGCGATGACAGAACAATGGGCAGTTTTACATAGGCTTTCTGTCACCCTCCTTTAATCAATCAATAAGTTCAGATTAATACAAGAGTTATTGACGATTTAAACAATTGGATAAGAAGCATAACCAGCAACACTACACATGTTGTTACCTCTGTACATTCTGAAGTAACCTGATTCACCGAAATCTTCACCCCAACTGTTCTTGAGAATCCAATATGGAGTACCATTTTCAGAACCATATCCGACGATAACTACACCATGGTCAAGATCTTTAGGGTCACTTGAAAACTCGTCAGTATTTACAGATAAAAGGGATTTCTCATCAGCTTCTGGAACATCAACAAAAGATGAGATTGAAGCACCCTTGTTTGAGGCAGTGTATCGACATGTGTGATAATCTTGTCCGTCACCAGAATGTTCAACAAGTTTACCGTTTTTAGAGCGTTGGCTGATTCGATAAAAGCAATGGCAGAGAAAGCCCAGCATGAACCACATTGCTGATGATCTTTGATTTCACTAACGATTCCCTTGGTTCAAACAACTGAGGCTGGAGCTTTTACGGTGTAGTTTGCGTTGTGAACAAGAGGAGCGGATCGACGAGCGGGCTTGTATCCAAGGTGTTTTGCTTTGAATTCCTCGGCGGTCTGCAACAAATTCAATGAGTTAAATTATTTGAATTATTTGATAAATTCTTGAGCCTTGATCTTTTCCAGTTTCTGGGCAAAAACATTTCGTCTGTAGGTTTCTTCTTCAGCCGAATCATAAGATTTGCCGTATTTAGTCTGTTGAGCAATGAAACAGGAATAAGAATCAACTCACGAATCAAGTCAATTTGGTAAAATAGACTTACCTTGAATGATTCCCATTGGGAGTCAAGGGAAAGGCTGGCAGAAGCGGCCAATGCAAATAAAGCAATGAATATAGCAGCTCGAATCATTTTGATTGGTAGTTGTTGGGTTAACAATAATTAATTATTAAACTAATGATTCTTAGTGACGCTAGCTTTTGCTTTTATATGATGGACTAGTCTGTGATTAAACATTGAATAAAATTGTGATAAACACTAACAACAATGAGTTTAAATGTCATTTTGTTTTGAATTAACCAAATCACCAAAAATCACGAGCTTTCATCAAAAAATCAGAAAGGTGAGACTTCGATTACAAAATTCATCGGAATTGTTCATTTTAATTTATAATTCCATTGTTTCACGCACTATCTTACCAGCAATAATGAAAACATATCAAATCTAATCATATCACTAAGATTTTATCTGAAATTAACTGATCTGTCGGAGATAATTCGTACGGAGATCGTACTTTACACTTGGTGCACATGTAGTTTTATCACAAATCAGTCAAGATCAATAAGCAAATGTCAATTGATGGTAACCTTTGAAATTTTCACAAATAGCAAGTATTAATACAATATGCAAGTACTGTCTCTTTTTATTAACAACTTTGTTCTGATTTTAAGTCCATTCGATGTCCACAAAACAGATCTCGTGTCGAGCCTAATGCATTTTATGTGTAAATAATGAAATCTAAGCGACAAAAATTTTTCTTCCCTTTAACATATCATGCTAC